AGGTAGGGGATCACTGAATGGGGGCGAGGAGGGGCCCCCAGTCAATCTGCAACCAAGGGTCCTTCCAGCAGCGCAGCAAACGAAGTCACCAGGCAAACGAACCATCGAAGCCGAGTCTCACTGTGGCCCATAGCAAGAAAATCAAATAGCCATCCTATACTGAAAAGAGGTCCACAATCCCTACTCGTAGCGGATCATAGAACCTTGTGCGGGTGACAACCGAGAAAATACAAACCTCAATCGTAGAAAAAGGTCACGGTACCCACAAGGTACCATCGACCTGTGGAAGGGGTGGGGACCCTTCTTCGAAGAACATCAGGATCAACAGAGACAAGTGGAAGAAAAACAACCAATGGAAAACCAGAGAGAAAGAAAGAGTTACTAGACGGGCTAAAAACACATTAAAAATATAAAGGAGAATAGTAGTGGGACACGCGACTACACCTCACCGTGTCCCCGAGCAAGCAATAAACAACAACCATCCTACATGGAAAAGGGCTCTACAGCTCCTGGAAGCAAGACATGGTAGAGCCTAGAACGGGTGGTAACCGGGCCGTGAAAATCCTCCATCGTAAGAAAAGGAGCCGCGGAGCCATTCAAATGGTACCATTGGCTCCACGGAGGGACTGGAGACCCTCCAAACCGATGTGAATAACATTCCGCGAGAAAAAGAGGGATTCAGAGAGATAAACCCAAGGGCGGGTGGTGACCGTGCCAAACAGATAGAATCAGCCGTGCCGTTCGGAGTTGTGAATCAGAAGGGGATAACAGAACAATAAGAACGATACTAACAAAGTAGCCTCGCCAAAGTAGAAAGTTGCTGCGGAGATGATGGGCTGAAAAGGTCTAAGACTGGGACCCAATCGCAGAAATCACCCAATAAGGTGTAGTCAGGACTCCACCACCTCCACGGACCTGGCTGTTTTTTGCAGTCGGGAGGGGAGGTGAACCTCTACGTGGCGCGTCCCCGGGTTGCGGATAGGGAAAGCTCTCCGGCGGGGCGGATGGCGGCTGCGAGGTCACCTCCGCCTTACCGGGGAGTCGGGGTGAAAGCCCCCGCGGACAAACACTGGTATGAATGTGTATGTGAATGGGCTGTGGCCGGTGTCTCATGGATATTCCCGAGAGACTAGCCAAGGGGGGAGTAGTAGCCCCTCGACTGGGGCGGAGAGTGATGTCAGTACCTGACCTCTGCGGTAGTAATAAGGGTAAACGTAAACCAGGCGTACCTTGATACGCCGGCAAAGGTCCCGTGAAAGCGCATGTTAAACGTGAGAGAACCGCTCACTTAGCCGCTGACTGGAGCCAATCTCGGGGTTGAAGTGGGATTACCGGGCGCAGGAATGGAGGCTTACCTGGTCAGTATTGCCTCATACCCTGAGCTACGGGGGGTAAACCGTAGCACCGTCTAGCCCGAGGTTTGGGTTTGGCGTCCATTCAGATTCGGCGTCGCCCACTCGATAAGGGTGACGTTAAACCTTTTGCATCATTTATGGCGCGGGCTTATTCCGTAACATTTTTCATAGAGTCATTCCGGCATCGATAGGGTGTGACCGCCTGACAAACCGCTTCTCGGTTTCGATGTCGCGTAAGGTTAGGGTATTTTTACCGGTGGATAGATCCCCTACCGCGGTAGAGGTCCCATAATAGGCGGAACCGATGAATTTTTCACGTTATATATGGCTTCAACAAACACAAACACAAACAGCACAGCAGGGGGGGGGGCGGCTATCGCCGCGGGCTACGCGCGACGAAAGGAGCACGGTGAAGGCACCAGGAAACCGACGCCTTTGACCTGCGGAGGGAGTAACGGCGACAGGGCTGAGAGTCCGATCTTGGGAAGTAAATCTGTCACGACTGGAACTACGATCACCAGTCCCAGCAAGGAGACGGACATTATCAAGGAGCGACTACTGGCTGACCTTAGTGAAGTCAGTGTCACCTTGGTAAGAACAGAGACGGTGAAGGGCGTGCCGACGGGCGGTAATTCACCCTCACTCACGGCGGACATTATGTCCTCAGCTGATGAGACGGCACCATCGGACAGTGAGGGCGATGGTGACAATGGTTTTCACACTCCGACAAACAAGTTTCCCAGGAGGAGGGTTAGTTTTTCACAAACGTCCTCAGCAGAAGAGCCGACGAACAAGAAAGCCACCTACCGGTAGAGCCCCACGACGACACGGGAGACCATCGACAGGGCCAAATGTGTCAGCCTTAGCCCCAGGATGCGAAAAGGCGCATTGCGGAGGTGGCCGATACCATCTCCAGAGTTGGAGGAGCTCTTTAGCACTATTGAAGAGGTAGTGGAGTACCAAGACTCCAATAAAAATATAAACAAGAAGTGCAGAGGGGATTACCTCAGCTGTGCTTCTAGGATAGAAAAGCTGTGCACCTACTGGAGGGAGCACGCCATGCTGAGAAGCATCGTGCTAGGCAATAGGAGGAAGGTTGCTGTAACCGAGAGGGATACACAGACCGAGATCGAGACTCAGACCGAAATGGATGTGGAGGAGATGCCCCCTCCTACTTCTTCGCCTAATCTTGCGAAGGCAAAGAAGAGGAAGAGGATCCTGTCGACCGCTCAGGAAAAAAGTGGTTACAGTCCTGATGAGGGCAGCAAGAAAGGGAGGATCGGTGAGACCTCCGGTGATAGTGGTGGGTGTGGAAAAGCTGTACAGAAGATAAGGACGTACAGTGAGATTGCCTCAGGGAAGGGAAAGGGAGAGATGCCGACTCCCAAACCGAGGAGCAGTGTCGTCCCTCCTGGACGATGAACCGAGAAGGCGGCTTCTCACACGTCTGCTGCCGTCACGGAGGGAGAATGGGCGGAGCAGGGACATAGAAAGAAGAAGAAGGCCCTGTCGCTTTCTGCCGAATCGGGTGGAAAAATCCAAGCTCCGGGGAACACCGGCACAGGTAGCAGCAACAACGCGAGGGCTCTTGGTGCGCCAAAACCCAAGCCGAGACGCAAGCTGGGCCCCAACAATGACGCTGTTGCGATCAAAGCAGAGGGCAAGACTTACGCAGAGATTTTTCGCGAAGTGGCGGCCAAGGTCCCCAACACGCAGTTGAAGGAGACTGTAAATGTGGTGAGGAGGTCCAGGACGGGAGACCTTATCATTGAGCTTACCAAGGAGGGTAACGCTCCTCAAACTTCGGCGGCGATCCGTGCGGCGGTTGGCCAGGATTACACGGTCAGAGCTTTGTCCCCCAAAGTGTATCTGGAGATTAGGGATCTTGATCCTATAGTGGAGGAGCCTAACATCTTGGCGGCCGTCGCGCGACACTGTGGTGCGCTCAATGCCAGCGATGCGCGCGTTAGGACAATTAGAACGGCCTACACCGGCACGCGGATTGCTATTGCGGAGGTGCCTCGTTCCTGGGCTATAGAAGGCAAGCTTCCTCAAGGCTCAAAGGTACGCATTGGCTACCCCATATGCAGGGTTACGGTGGCGGCTAAACTGACACGTTTCTTCCGGTGTCACGGCTACGGCCACATTGGAGCAACGTGTCCTAACACGGAGGATAACCAGCCCATATGTAGGAAGTGTGGCAAGGCTGGGCATATTGCCAAGGGGTGTGATTTGCACCTCTCCTGCTACATATGCAGGAAAAAGGGTGTACCCGAGGACAAGATCAGGCACGTGGCTGGGGTAACTAATTGCCCACAATACCGTGAATACCTCCGGGGGAAGGTTTCTACGACAGATCGTCAGTGATGCGCCTCTTGCAAATCAATTTGAATCACTGCAGGCTGGCGCAGGACCTGCTCTTACGCACTGTCGACGAATTGAAGATCGACGTGGTGGCGGTGTCGGTGCCGTACTATGTCCTCAGTGGATGGTTCATAGACACAACCGGCAAGGCGGCGTCCTGGGTGACCCACTACAGTGTCACTAAAGGGACCAGCGGAAGCGTAATTGCCGGATATGGCTTTGTCTCGGTGGAGGTGGGCAGACGACGAATAGCCAGTTGCTATTTCTCCCCTCGCTGGGGGATGTTGCTCTCAGCAACGCCCTCCATGAACTGGAGATGGAGAGAGCGGCATGGACGCAAGATGTTCTCATCGCTGGCGATTTCAACGCTAGTTCCCCAGCCTGGGGCTCGCGTGGGACGAATGCAGGCGGTAAGGGAATTGCTCTGTCGGGATCCGTAAAACTCAGCTGGTGCGGACTCTCTTCCCGCTTGCGGATGATACGGAGGCCCTTGAGGCATTCAATCCAGGGCCGGAGACCGTGGTGCATAACTGGTCCCCTATTGACCCGGAGGAATTGAAGATGGCGGTCTCGAGGGTTTCCCTTGACAAGGCCCCCGGCGTCGATATGATACCGGGAGTCACAGTCGGTCTTATAGTTAAGGTCAGGATCGACATGATCACACATGTCTTCAATAGTATTCTGATTTCTGGAGTGATCCCACGTCGGTGGAAGACTCAGAGACTGGTCCTGATTGCTAAGGCGGGGCGCGACCCTGCAACCGCCTCGGCGTACAAGCCGTTATGCCTTATTAGCCATTGGGCTAAAGTCTTTGAGTCTGTGCTACGGGAGCGCATTATCACGGCCATTGGTGACGGTGGAATATCCGATAAACAGTACGGAATTACGAGGGAACGAAGCACACTTAACGCGCTAGAAGAGGTGACTGGGATTGCGGAGACTGCGCTGCTTAAGCAAAACTTCTGCATCCTAGTCACTTTCGATGTCAAGAACGCGTTCAATACTATTCGGTGGCCCCGAGTGGCAAACGCGTTGATGCAGCTAGAATTCCCCGTCTACCTGCGCAGAGTCTTAATAGACTACTTCAGGGACAGGAGGCTACGATACTGGGCAGGTGGGGAGTGGAACGAGGAGTCTCCATACATGGGAGTGTAGCATGGATTAGTCATAGGACCCATCCTATGGAATGTGGCGTATGACGGAGTCCGAGGGGCTGTACGATCATCGGTTACGCCGATGATATCGCGCTGGTCGCGACTGGTGGCGGCTATACTCGGATGAATGGAGGAGAACCAACTTCAGGCGGCGCCCAAGAAGACGGAGATCTTCTCCCTAACTGGCAAAAGGCTTGGTGACTTCTCCATCCGGGTTGGCAACGAGGAAATAGTGCCGACGGATCGACTGAAATACTTAGGTGTTAAGTTCGACAGAGGACAACGTTCCAGGGAACACATAACTACGGTCACAGATAAGGCGCTTCGAGTGTCGGCGGCGCTGTCGCGCATTATGCCAAACATCGGCGGGGCGGGCCATAAGACGAGCATTCTGTACTACAGGGTGCTTGAATCTATAGTAACGTATGCCTCGCCGATATGGTCCAGGGTGGCGCTAGACGATCTAAAGAACCAGCAAACTCTTAAAAGGGCGCAGAGGGCTGGCCTGAACAGGGTGGTCAAGGCCTACAGAACCGTGTCGCTTGACGCGCTAACGGTTTTGGCAGGTATATCACCCATTATATTCAAGCTTGAGAAGAGATTGGCGTTGTACGGGCTGGAGAAGCGTTGCAGGAGACTCCGACAGGGCACATTTCGGGCGACCAGCCGTCACCTTGAGGATGCCGACGTTGAAAGGGAAAAGGACATCAAGAGAGCCCTTTCAAGAAAATGGCAAGAACGATGGGACCGGGAATGCGTGAACAAGGTCACTCATGACTGGATCTCGAACATTGAGAAGTGGTTGACCAGACCCAACGGCCAAATGAACTATCATTTGACCGTTCTATCATACCGTTCTATCATACGCCCTGAAAGACAAAGAGGAGTACAAGCGTGCGATGGACAGGGCGGCGCGTATGAATGCGCCCACCCCTCCTCCTTCGCCACTCCCATAACAAGGAGGAGAATTCGGAGATAATCAGAAGACGGAATATGGGATCAGGGGCAGAGGCTGGCCCTCTTTCAAACAACACACACATTTACAATTTTACACATTATACCTATTTATTTATATATTTATTCATTCTATTTATTTATTTATTTTATTTTATTTTATTTTATTTACACACCACCTTCTAGTCACTTCTAGTCATTTATTTATTTATTTACACAAGAGAGCATGACCGTAAATGACCCCTGACCTTTAATTGGAAGAATTGGAACCTAACCAATAACATTGAAGGAGACTGTGAGATTATCACAAGTTTAGAAGGGATCCGCGCACGACTTCGCCCAGTAAAGTAAAGCCCCACTTTGGGGGTAGTTCCGCTGTGGTTGAAGAGGATCTGCGAGACGAGAAAGATAGAAATAAATAGGACTTCCCCACCAATGACGCTTCGTAGCAACTATCGGCTTAGGTAGGGATATCCGGGGTAGTAGAGTTCCCAAATACAGATAATCCGGAAATCCAAACCTCGAAAATGGACGGCAAGCTATCGTCGGAAAGAGGAACCGAGAGGGATAGTCTTAACCAAGGGGGGGGGGGGATGAAGACCGTCGCCTTGTCGCGCTAGAGAGATAAAGGGGAAGGTGCAAGAGGGACGGGGGGAGTGATAGGATATAAAATCAGGGAAGGGAGGGGGGAGGTGGCAGACAACAGAGGGCACCAGATCCAATCTGTGTTACGGAACACGCAGGCTGAGCCCGGTTACCGCCTAACGGACCAGGAATAGATTGACAGGGGGTGTATAGAATTCACAACTTTGATGGCACAGTGTAGAAAGAATAATGCAGGCTGGTACTGCAGGTCCTGAGGGATGTGGATAGCCCGACGACACACCAGGCTTCGGCACCTCCCGAAAAATAGACAGAATGACCCCGCCCAATGATGGACCGCCCCCGCGAATAGCTCGAATCACTAATGCTGGCCCGGACTCTAAAAAGTGTGGCAAGAGCGAGAAACGAGGTAGAAAGCATCAACTGGGTTATCAGCCCCCTCCGACAAGTCAAGGAGCAGTTTCCGCGGATTCGGAGTGTCTGGGATAAGGTCTAAGCGCCATGGAGCCCGACAGGGACGCGGGGGCGGCACCGCCCCCCCCCCTCAGTACTCAAATGCAAACAAGATGCAAACAAGATAGTTGCAAATGGGATTATCAGGAATGCATGTGCAACTAAATGTGAAAGGATTGATTGCGTTTAGTAAATTTCTTGGAGATACACCAGAGCATAGCAATTTTGCACCAACAATGGTTTTAAACAATGAAACCATGCATAAATTTTTCCAAATGGGATCATCACGAATTCATCTATCATGAAATGCGGAAGGCTCCATCGTCATCGGTTAATTCCTTGCCGAGTTACATAAAAGAATAGAAATTTTGCAATAACAATAGTTATAAACAATAAGAAAGATCATTTTTGCAAAGTAATCACCTCGAAAACGAGTCCTTCAGCAAAATGTAAAGGGTTTCATCGATTTCATCGAATTCAGGCCAAACATACGTGAAATAGTACGCTTTTTGCGATAAAAAGTGCAATAAAGTGTTAAAAAATGGAAGAGGGTCAAATATATTTTTAAGCTTTTAAGAGACAACGAAGCCCTACCAGATGCAAGAAGATTCAATCCGATTGGTCAATTCGTTTCGGAATAAGAAGTAATACAACATTTTTCGGTTTTCTGCACACAAAAAACGGGTAAAAAATGAGAAATCCCAAATTTTGTTGGTAATGGGACCACCTTGGAGACATGCTCTACAAGATGCAACAGGTTTCATCCTGATTGGTCAAGCCGTCTGGGCGTAATCGAGTACTATACATAAAAAAAAAATATATATATATATATATATATATATATATATATATATATATATATTTATATACATTTATATATATTTATATTTGTATATTTTATATACAGGTCGAACTGAGTAACCTCCTCCTTTTCGAAGTCGGTTAAAAAAATTCTTCAGCACTCAAAAGGTTAACAAATTAAGAATAAACGGAAAATGAATAAATTGTGATGAAAAAGTAGTAGGCAAGAGGATAGGAGGGCAGGTTCTTTAAAAAAAACAGCATCAAGGAATGACAAGAGGGCAAGAAGATTTTACGAGAATCGCGGACATGCTTACGCAAAGACAAAGGGTCTATGGACAATGTATGTGTGTTGCAACACATAGCGAAGAGGAAAACAACAAAGAAGAGGGGAAAGCTATATGCATTGTTTATCTAGAGACGCGGTAGCGTTTCGACGCCAAGTTCATGAAAAATTATATAGCCACCCTGTATAACGTGGCGCTACCGCTATCTTTTACAGGAGAGATGGTCCATTTTAACCTAACTTAAAACTTCTTTCATTAATATCTCATCACGCCTGCAATATTTTCTAAATTTAAACGCATTTTTCTGATGTAAATCGCATATAAGCTTTCGAATAAAACGAAAATCAATCAGATCGGTACACGTACAACAGCGATATCGTAATATCGTGTCACGATACATCCAAAAATATTACTGTCTTATACTTTTCCAGTCGATTTTTCGTCAACACTTAGCCAATAGGAGACAAGGCCGTTCGTCGATTCGTCGACTCTCGAAATCAGTCGGCAAGACTCGTCGGCCGCCATAAGAAATACTTGTGTATATCGTTTGACAGATATAGGTTAGTATCGTTTGAGAGATATAGGTTATAGTGAGGAATAGCTGAATGCAGATTATTAAGACAGAAGACAAAAATTTCACCAGATACCTGCAAGAAATAATGCACAAGAAACAGTAATGTTGCCTTGCAATACGTGTGTGCACGCAGTAAAACTATAATAGTAGTATTAAAAGTGCGACATATTTTATTATATTTCACATCAAGAAGAGGAGTATATAACATCATCAATAAAAGAGTAAGTAAAATCCACAATTAAAAGTAGATAGTGTTTACCATTATTTGATAAGTAGTTGTATGCGCGTAAATTCTTGTGTTTTCTGTTTCCACAGTCTTTGATTGATATGAACCAAATAATTTGATGACGAAGCAACAGTATTTTGGTGCTCTCCAAAAATAGGAGCTGCCGCTGTGAAATTCTAGTATTTTATCTGAGTGAAGGATATCTGGTAGTAATTATTAAAATACCACAAGAAGAATTGTGCAAGTATTACAGGAAATACGATAAAGTTTGACAGCTATATTGAAATTTGCCAGTTAAAATATACTACGATCTGACAGAGTATACAACAGAAGGAATTAAGTAAGCTGTACATAATGTTTGTATGAAAATTATGATTTCTACTTTTATTTTAAGTTCTGCGTTAATTTTCAACTGAAATATGGTTTGTATGTTACAGATAATTGAACCATAAGATGATGGTGAGCGGTGTGCATAACAAATTTTCTGGTATTTGTATTAATTCATGAATTGAATGAATAAATGTTTGTAATTAATAAATTAATATCATATGAAATATACATATTCACTTTCTTTACCCGCTCTCCATTTCTTTTCCTCTCTTCAATTAAAAAAATAAGAAGTCTGTGTATATGTTGCAGGGAAATGATAAAAATAGAGATATGATCAAATCCCTAAGGTAGATGATCAATTCACGGGAGATGTTAAAATAACAACTCCGTAAGGTCATTTCCCTAAAGAAAGTAGGTGATTTGATCAAATCCCTTAACTGTTTTAGTGTAAAGATGAAATAATATTGTTTAGATATTGAAAGTACTTATTTAGTAAATCATGCATTATTAAAAGTAGAATAGGAAATACAACAATACTCATAGAAACATAAATTATTTATTCGAGACTAATTAGCAAAAGAAATAGGTACCTAAGCTGATATTTTAAAAAACAAAAAGAATACTTTTAGGGAATGTAATTAATAAATAATTTATATTTCTACGACTATTGTTGTATTACCTACTCTACACTTAATAACGCATGATTTACTAAATTAATACTTTTAATATCTAAACAATATTATTTCATCTTTTCACTAAAACAGTCAAGGGATTTGATCAAATCATATTATTTCATCTTTTCACTAAAACAGTTAAGGGATTTGATCAAATCATTTACTTTCTTTAGAGAAATGACCTCACAGAGTTGTTATTTTAACATCTCCTGTGAATTGATCATCTACCTTAGGGATTTGATCAAATCTCTATTTTTATCATTTCCCTGCGACATATATAAATCACAAAACTAAACAATTCATTTTTTCATATTATTTCATATGGATTATTCTAGATTATAGATATTAAAAATATTATAGATGTATTATCAGTAACATTAAAATTTCTTGGAACAAGACTTTCTATCATGTGTTCTGCATACTTCTGAACTTTATTCTAATACAATAAATTGTGTGTTACAAATAGTGGACATATTTTTCCTATTTCTCACTTCATCTTTAACATTTCAATTTCTTGCAACCATAAGCGATTTCGAGCACCATGAACTCTACATAAAGTACTATATACATATAATATAAAAATTATTTAAAATCATTCACTATGCAAATTATCTTTGCAAAAAGAAGTAAGATCCCCATACATAACTTCAAAAAAGTAAAAAAATTATGCCAAGTACATGAAAAAGTGGAGGACTCAAGGAGTTATCATAGAAAAATAAAAGATCCCCATTAAAAACTACAAGAAAATAGAAAAAGATGTGAAATCGAAATGAGCTGCCATTGCATGAAGATGCTTTCCAGCAAAGTGCAAAGGCGACACTGTATAACACAATGTAAAATTCGGTGGTTTCCAACTATGCGCAGCTAAATTGCTGTGTTCAACAGTGCGGACATTCAGATCCTAATGACAATTCATGTAAAGTTACTGCTCCGCACTTTGGCGGTGAAATGAAGAGGCTAAATAGTGTAACAGCCACAAACTGAGACTGTCTAGAAATTTGCCTAGATGTCCGTGGCCAG